CACCGTTGATACGCGTTCCGCGCGAGTGGAAGAAAATTTATGGTTTCTACGAGAGAAGCTATAAGAATAAGGGGGGTATCATCGCGTTTACGGCTTCGCTTCGGTGTATTTCCTTCCGATTTGCATAACGGGCTTTTGGGCTAACCGTACCTATCATTTTACACTACCCTCACATACACTCGCCCCCCCCCTCTTTCTTTCTCTCTTACTCCCCCCCCTCTCTCTCTCCCTTCTTTTGTGTCAACGATTCACAACGTCACCGCAAACAACGCATTATCGCACCTTTTACTAACATTTACTGCCATTAAAATGCATGTAAACTCGTTTCAAAAACAAATCAAGTGTTCTTCTTCTGTGGAAGAAAGTAGAGACTCTCTTTCTGCATTTTATTTTACACCCAGCGAATAATATCAACATATCATTTTCTTTGCAAAAAAAAATGAAAAAACAGTTATTTACATTTCTAGATAATATAGACTGACAAAAAAATTTATTTAATCCAAATAATTGGTTACTTTATTATCAAATAATTATTTACTTGAACTAAATAATTTTTATTTGAATTAAATAAATTGTATTTGAACCAATAATTTTTCTACTTGAAACAAATACAATTTAAAACAATAGCTGAAGATTCATTTTGGTAAAAGGAATTTTCGAGTCAGACAGTCCGCAGAAACCACGTTGGCTCAGGACTTTGGTCCTATTCATAAACGCAAAGTTCTCTCTTAATAACAAGGACCTGACCTGTATAATTATTTTCTACTCTATGTCCTTTGTGCTTATATATATATATACATATATACAAATGCTAGAGATGTGAAGTGCGCGCACTTTTAGTTTTCTGTAACCATACTCTCATATAAGGTTTAAGCAACAAACGTTTTAATCTCGTTTACCTTTAAAACAGTTGACTCTCTGCAAAACTTGACAAAATTAACAAAAGACCAAAAGTTTAACTTGAAATCTGGTCTGGAAATTAATTCTCTTAAATACACAAAATTAACATTGTTTGTATCTCTATAAATATAGACACATACTCAATTTATAAAATTTTGTAAATTAACACAATTAAGAAATTAAGTAGAAAAATAAATTTATTATTATTCTAAATATTTATTCTCTAAATAAGAGTAAATATTACTCAAATATATAATTTTTTTTCGAAATAATTATTTCAGAATAAGGTAAACAAAAAAAGAAAAAGAAAAAAGAGATTAAGACAAAGAAAAAGGTAACATTAAGAACAGTTTACGAAAATGAGAGATAAAAGAAGAAAAAGCAAAAAAGAATTGAGATGAAAGAAAAATTCAACAGAGAAAAAAGATAGGCATAAAAAAAATAACGGGAAAATACGCAGAGAAAAATATTTTTGTTTTGATAAGAAAACATTTAGATTTTTATTCAATTTTTTTGATTGGTTTAACTTTTGGTTACTTGAACCTATATTTGACCTACATTGAACCTATTTTAAACCTACATTGGTCCTAGTTAAAACATATTTTCAACCATCATTGGGCCTATGTAGAACCTACTTTAAAACTACTTGGACTTACATTGAACCTACCTTGGACCTACCTAAACCTATTTTAAACCTACATTGGACCTATATAGAACCTACTTAAACCTATTTGGATCTAATTAACACCTACTTTAAACCTACTACCACCTAAATAGAATCTTCTTTAAATCTACAATGGACCTATATAGAACCTACTTTAAAACTTCTTGGACCTAATTAGAACCTTCTTTGAACCTACTTGGTCATAAGCAGAATCTACTTTAAACCTATTTGGATCTACATTGGACCTACATAGAACCTACTTTAAATCTACATTGGACCTATGTAGAACCTACTTGGACCTACATTGAACGTACCTTGTACCTAAATAGAACCTACTTTCAACATACTTGTACCTAAATAGAACCTATTTTTAATCTACAATGGACCTATGTAGAACCTATTTAAAACCTACATTGGACCTGTATAGAACCTACTTTAAATCTACATTGAACCTAATTAGCACCTACTTTAAACTTACATTGAATCTACCTTGATCCTAAATAGAACCTACTTGTACCTAAATAGAACCTATTTTTAATCTACAATGGACCTATGTAGAACCTATTTAAAACCTACATTGGACCTGTATAGAACCTACTTTAAATCTACATTGAACCTAATTAGCACCTACTTTAAACTTACATTGAATCTACCTTGGTCCTAAATAGAACCTACTTGTACCTAAATAGAACCTATTTTTAATCTACAATGGACCTATGTAGAACCTATTTAAAACCTACATTGGACCTGTATAGAACCTACTTTAAATCTACATTGAACCTAATTAGCACCTACTTTAAACCTACATTGAATCTACCTTGGACCTAAATAGAACCTACTTGTACCTAAATAGAACCTACTTAAACCTACTTGGACCTAATTAGCACCTACTTTAAACCTACATTGAATCTACCTTGGACCTAATTAGAACCTTCTTTAAACCTACTTGGTCATAAGCAGAATCTACTTTAAACCTATTTGGATCTACATTGGACCTACATAGAACCTACTTTAAATCTACATTGGACCTATGTAGAACCTACTTGGACCTACATTGAACGTACCTTGGACCTAAATAGAACCTACTTTCAACATACTTGTACCTAAATAGAACCTATTTTCAATCTACAATGGACCTATATATAACCTATTTAAAACCTACATTGGACCTACATGGAACCTACTTTAAATCTACATTGGACCTAATTAGCACCTACTTTAAACCTACATTGAGTCTACCTTGGTCCTAAATAGAACCTACTTGTACCTAAATAGAACCTATTTTTAATCTACAATGGACCTATGTAGAACCTATTTAAAACCTACATTGGACCTGTATAGAACCTACTTTAAATCTACATTGAACCTAATTAGCACCTACTTTAAACCTACATTGAATCTACCTTGGACCTAAATAGAACCTACTTAAACCTACTTGGACCTAATTAGCATTAAACCTACATTGAATCTACCTTGGACCTAAATAGAACCTACTTGTACCTAAATAGAACCTATTTAAAATCTACAATGGACCTATGTAGAACCTATTTAAAACCTACATTGGACTTATATAGAACCTAAATAGAACCTACTTTAACCCTACTTGGACGTGCATTAAACTTAATTATTTATTTTTATTTTTTTTAAAGAAAAAAATATATAAAAAATATTTTTCATTAACTTTAAAAAAAAAAAAAGAAAAAATTCACTACCAACGGCAGATTTCCAATTGGTGCCATTCTGCGCAGTGCTTAACAACTTTTATTGTTGTTTCCGTAAAGAAAAGTATCTGCGATCTATTGTTGCTTTCAGTGCCAAGCTGAGAAAGGACAGCATATCGTCCTGCAGAGACCTCCAAACTAATCAGACTCGGCCAATTCGAGTTCTCTCATGGGATTCTCCCTTCTCTCTTTCCATCTCCCTTTCCCTCTTCCTCTCTCTCTCTCGCTCCGTCTCCCTGGACAAGATAATTTAAACTTTCCCAACGCCATGACTATCCACATTCGCACCCCTTGATTCCAATTAACAGAATTAGATACGAGAGTCAAATTCAAATATCTGCAATAAACCTTTGCTAACTAAAATATTCAACTGATAAAAAATATAGATATATAAATAAAATATAAAAATCAAAAATACCTGATACTCGCTTTTTTTAGAATAATTTAAAAACTTTTAAAAACCCGCGATTTGTTTTCTCTCTCTCTCTATCTCTCTCTATCTCGTTACTATTGTTTACTCTTCATAACCAATTTATCTTTTACGTGCAACAATAATTTATGGCTTCTCATTAATTAAAAATGTACATGAATTATTTAATTTCTCGAATAAAAGCACCGTTTCGCGAATCTAGTTAATTATTTAAAAAATCAACTTGTAATTAAAATACGCGAATGAATTTGTAAATTAGGTTATACCTGCGAGAGTCTATCTATATAATACAAAATTAATAGATTCAATATGCCGTACTGAAAAATTATTTCCGTCAAATAATTTTCCCTGCTGACTAAATTGTAGAAAAAAAAAAGATAATGATGAAACGTTACAATTAATTGAAAATTTAATAAAAAAAAAAAAATATTAAAAAAAGAAATGGAATTATTTTATTTTGAAAAAAAATTGCTATGAAAGGACAATAATTTTTAAAATTAATTAATTTTTGAATATTTTATATGTAATGTGAATTTTTTATATATAAAAAAAAACAGTAGTATATAAATGTGATGAGATTTTTTGAGATATTTGGATTTTATTTCGTCTAGTGCCATTTCGACGTGACGGGACCACAAGGGAATGACATCGTTGCTGTACTTTTTTTTTATTTTATTTTATTTTAAAGCCCAGATTGTGATGCATGAGTGGCTTAAAAGGGCACCACGGTTCGCCAGCCGAAAATTTAGATATTCGTCACTGCCAACTACCGCATTTACTCTGCATATGCTAAACCCATCCTCAATTTTGTATGTTTCATATAATGAGTACCAACAATGCATTTATATATATATATATAAACCATAACAAACCGCATTCACATATATTTTCCAAATGTTTGCCAATTCATATTATTTCATTTATATATTTGTCTCTCAGAGCCAAATAAATTTTTATTTCTTTCAAATAAATATATTTTTAATTTCAAATAAATATTTATTTGTTGCAAATAAATTTTCATTTTGATTATTCTTTTTTTTTTGTATTTATTTTCCTAATAAACTTCATATTTTGAAATGAGTTCATTTAACAAAAATTTCAATTCATTTTTGTTTCAAATTTATATACTCTTAAAAAAAAAATCTTTAGAAAAAAAAAGAATCTTTTGGTAAAAGTTAAGAATGCACCTTTAAAGCAATTTAATGACGATCGTAAAAAAAAATATTTCATTATATTATATCATGGCTGATAAGAATATGAAGAATGCATAAATTGCAAAACTTACCTCCTCTCGGAGCTTCAGTAGACCCAGCACGTTGCCTTAAACCTGAAACAAAAACAAAAAACAAACTCTCATCAAACTGGTGAGGAAAATCACTTTTTAAAGGGCGACGGGGAGGAATTGTCTTATAAATGTTTATACCAAACTTTTGACATTCAATTGAAAAAGTTTATAAATCAATTGTCTAGTTTTAGTTATAATTAAAGATATATATATATATATATATATATATATATATATATTCTCTTTCTCATCATCTCCTATGAATATTTGCCCTCTGGGAATCGTGTTCTTTCTTTTCTCCCTTGAGTAAAATTAATATTACCTGAATCTTGGATATTCATAAATTAAGAAAACGTAAACGTTTCATCAAAATCCAGTGTTTGAACTCTGGGAAGTTACAATCCCATGTTTAATAATGTTTACTCACTTATACATATATATATATAGTTTAAACTTTCAAACTCACGAGACTCAGATAAAACTTGAATTCAAAGTAAAATGTCATTGAAATCAAGGGAGGGGAGGGGGGTTAGATATACAAAAGGGAACTCGTAAAATTTCATTTGAATAATGGAATTTTGCAAACGAGCTAATAGAATAACGGGGGTTCCTATTCTCTTTGAAAAAGAAGGCAGTTTAGCTTCATTGAGTGCTTTCCCATCCCGAAATTTTTTTTTTTTTTTTTTTGAATCTGCCTGACTCTATATAGATATATAGAGAGAGAGAGGTGAAAACTTTTACATTCTAACTTTATCTTGCCACTTGTTAAGCCAACGTTGACTGTAGTTTGCTTTTGACTCGGTGAATTACAAATCGGACTCAAAAGCTCCAGCTGTGGGAGTTACGATCCCAACAAAAAAAAATAAAAAAAAAAAAAAAAAAGAAAGACACAACCCTAATGCATTTTCAGGCTTTCAAAGTTTTGTGCGCCTTCTCTTCTTCGCGGGACTTCAACTTTTGGACAAGCAGCCGCGAGGAAACTTTAAATAGTTTACGTTTTAGTATATTATACAAGACGCGCGCTTTATTTTCGAAAATTGTTTCGCTCAGTTCATTAGAAACTTATTTGTAAGACTTTGCTGTTCAAAAATCAGTTTCATTAAAGTAAATGAGAAGCAAAAAAAATTTTTCAAATTAATTTAATTGTAAATTGATTTTGTCTTTAACTATTAGTGAAAAAAAACAAAAAACAAAAAAGTAAACTAAAAAAAAGAAATTAAATAAAACGAATAAAAAACAAAATAAACAAAACGTGTAAAATAAATAATAAATACAATAAAAAAAATTTTAAATAAATAAATAAAAGTATAAATTTATTAAAAAAAAACGAATAAAACGATTTTTATGAAAAAAAAAGTTGAATTTTTATCCCAAGGAATAAAAAATTACAGGGATTTTAACGCGTAGTTAAAATTTTGAAACGACATTTATATATATATAAACCGTCAAACCGTTTATAATGCATCGTTAGTTTGATGAAAATAAAAAATAACTTCAACTATATTTTATTACTCCTGTCTTTATTATTATTCCACAAAATTTAATTAACTAACGAAAAAAAACGAAAATATAATACTATAATATATTGTATATATATATATACCTTCTATTGAACGATCAAATTACTTTTTTTCAATAAAAGAGTTTCAAGTTTTAAAACATCTCTATTAGAAGTGAAAGCAATTACATTCAAGAATCATTTCCGGTTTTTTTTTTTGAAACTTTATTTCAAACTTTAAGGAAAAACTTCCTCGAATTTGAAAGCTAATTTTTTTTACAATTCTTTATATAATTTTAATTTCTTTTGAAAATTTGTCTGCGTTTTCTAAATAATATTTAAAATTTATATAAAAAATACTATAATAAATACTATAATAAATATTATAATAAATGTTATAATAAATGTTATAATAAATGTTATAATAAATAATATAATAAATAATATAATAAATATTAATTTATATATATAATAATATAAAGGGTGATTTTTATGTTCCGGACCCCCTAAAAAATTTTTTTAATTCCACTTTTTTCTTGTTTAAAAAACGAAAAAAATGAGATTAAAAAAAATTTTTTAGAGTGTCCAGAACATAAAACATCATTATGTAAATAATATTTAATAATATTTATTACTGAAATTGTTTAAAATGTTTTTAATTTCAGTTTTTAACTATTAAATAGTTCTAAATTTGCGGAAATATATATAGATATATTGGAAAATAGAATCTTTAATGAAAATGAAGCAAGACAAGTGGAAAATGCTTATTTGACTTAGTGAAGCATACAGAGGTATTCATAGAATGTCTGTAGAGTAAAGTTCTAATAAGGAGGAGAAGGAGAATTGAGGGGGCGTTAGGGGGTGAGGAAGAAAGATAAGGAGAACGTGGATAGACTCCTCTACTTTTGGAGAGATAAGAAATCGTAACTGGTTTCACCTCTTGCTTTCCATCCTCTCTAACTAATCGAAAATTTGATTAAGCTTTTAATGCTTTTACTCGTCCATATAAAATTTATATTTGATAATTACAAACATAATTATTGCAAATATGATTATTAATATTTCATTATTAATCTAATATTAAAATATATATAAATATAATTACAATATACATACAAAAATAAATATTTCATCTTTTAATTACTAATTAACACTGCACGATCTTTTGAATTTATCATCATCAAGATATAATTAAAATATAATTAGTAAGATATATTTCCTATTAATTATTATTATCATCGTCATATCAAAATATGTAAAATTATCAAGATATATATATATATATATATATATATATATATATCATTTTCCAGAACTAATTAGGTAACTTAAAAAAAATATAATTATATAATAATAAATTAAGAATAAAATAACAATAATTCAAATAATCACATATTAATATTTTATATTATATTATATCAATATTTATATTAATATAATTAATATTTTCTTCTAATTATAAAAACTAATAAAAAAAAATAAAAAAAAAACAAGAAATAAAATAACAATAAATCAAAGAAACATTAAAATTAATCCAATAATTTTTTTTAAATTCCATTAAAAAAAATTAATATTAACATTCAATTAATAAAATCCTATAAATAATAAAAATCAAATGATTTTCCAAACGAAAATTTCGTTAATAAACATCAGTTTGAAAAATTCGCTTTTGTCAAAAAAAGTATATATAATGCATGGCAAAAAAAAAAATTTAGTGACTGCTGTAGATATACTTTAAATATAAAAGAATGAGGTCGTAAAAGGTACACCATCCAATAATTCGTGTAATTGGCTGCACTGCTATATAGCTCACGCTTTACTATCGCTGTCGAAGCTATTTTCCGGGGGGGGGGGGGGGGCGTTAGTGAGTGGGTTTGATAATTTTAATAAAAAAAAGGAGTAAAAAAATAATAATAAAAAAAAAACTCCGGGCTTATTTTTCTGTGACCTGGCCTTTGATGTGTTCTATAGGATAACAAAATCGATATAGAAAACGAATCGCTTTTCATCGCTTTTGCTGCAGTTTGTGACAAGAGGATTATACCATATTGTGCCATGTGCTGATAAAATTCTTGATTATAAAAGTTTTCATTTTTTTTTCTCACAATGCACAAGTATAACAAGCCTATTAGATGTCTTTTATCCCAAAAAAAAATTAAGCCAATTCTTTTCAAAATCCAAATCAAAAATTGCGAAATTTTTTTTTAAATATAAAAATTCCATTGTTTCATCGTTTTTTTTTTCATAAAAATTGTTTCCAATTTTCTGTTTGGAAAATCCGATCTTTTTTTCTAGTATTAAAAGCATCGAATTTATTTTATTTGATATTTGATATACTAAAGGATTATTTATTTTATTTATGCAAAGAGTATAATTGTTTTATAAATTACTGATAATAGATGAGAAAAAATTACATTTTTCGTAAAAAATTTTCCTGTTTTTTTTTTCTTAATATGTGAATAAATAAAACGAGATTCATAGGGACATTTTGTTGTTGAATTAGCCAAAATAGATGAATTCTTAGAGAGTGGGTTTTTTAATTTTATTTTCGACATATATAACAAAAAAAAAGAAAAAAATTTTTGTACCAGGATGTCCAACCACAAATATGCAATTCATGTACGTGTGTCAGTGTCTGTGTTCCAAAAGTGGAACTCACGCTTCAATTGAATTTACATAACGATTATTCAATCGTCCGTACAGAATGGTTCGAAAGGGGAAGGGGGACGGAGGGTTTCTACCAAAATCTGCTAGACGCGCAATGCGAACGTAATCCGAACAATGACAAAAATATCGACCTAATATTATGCTGCAAGGCACACTCTTGTGTTCATAAATTGACACCCACTCATTCAAAAATTTACATACATTTTTTTTTTAACAAAATAACCATCACGATTTATGGTCAGAAATTGGGCCATTGGCTGACTGAAATTCAAATTTTTTTTTACTTGGAGAAAAGAATTACGTCTGAATGACATTGACCTTTACTACTGGTAGATAAATTACAAAATTCAAAAAAAAAAAATTCTTTCGTCTGATTAAAAGTTAGTTTTACTACTAGTTCGAAAAATTAGCTGAAATTAAACCCTTTCTGACTAAAACTGACTTTTACTATTGAAACATTGTATGTACTAATTCTTGTCCGACTGAAAATAGTTCTTACTACTGATTTACTATTACTACAAAGCAGAACATTGTGGAAAGTTTAGTCTGAACAAAAACGACTTTTTCTACTAATAATAAAATTGACAAAAATCGTATTATTTTCTGCCAGACTAAAATGTTGTTTTACTACTCACAGGAGAGAAAAACAGAAAAATTGTCAGACAAACATTGTCTGAAAAAAACTATACTTCTACTACTGACACTAACAGTGCAGTGCAAAACCATTATGTCTGACTAAATCAATCGTTTACTACTAATTTTTTTTAATTTCAGTTCTGTCTTTATGAAATTTTAGGAAAGAATAATATACACAAAAAAAAGTGGTTTTACCGAGACACTACAGTAGTATATTCCCATGTATTTTTCGCCGCTAAAT